CATCGAGGCCGGGCTTTAGGGGGTCCCGACGTAAACCGATCGATCGTACGTGCGAGGTATCGATACCGGCTGAAAATGAGGCAGCTCCGTGACGTCCGTAACATCCAGCGTGAATGAGGCGCTAACGACCAGTGATTACCACGCTCGCACGCGGGCCTCGCACGAGCGTGCACGGCTGTAACGCAAGCACGCACGAGTAACGCAAGCACGCACGGCCGACGCGGGCCGACGCGGGCCGACGAATATAATCACGCGAATAGGTGAGGATGTCCATCAATCCTGGGCCTCGCGCGCTAAGCGCGGGACCTCCCGCGATGTTTCTCATCTTCTCACCGGGCCCGACGTGGGGCGTCGTCTCTCTCGCCACCCCGGCGGACGTCTTCGAAGCTCTTGGTGCGAGGAAGATACGTCCGTGGACTTCTGACAGGACGGACGCGCGAAATCAATGAGCCACCAGCGGCTACCACATCGGCCCGAAGTGCGAAGACACGTGCGAAATAAGGTGGGCGATTGAAAGGGATTTATAACGTCGTGAGAATCAGCTCGTAGAGATCAGCAAGACAAATAATAAATAAGTGAAAAGTAAAACAAGTTAAGAGGAAGGGGGGGCCACTTTCGACAATCTGCAACTCGCGACAGGAATCATATTTTTATTTTGACACATTCATTTAAATGTGCACTCTACATGGGACAAATAGTCTTGTTGAAGTATCTAAAAATTTAGTTGAATCTATGAAAATAATTTGATTGCATTATCAAGATAATTAGAAATATGTGGGACACTCAAATACCGGTTGCTGAAATGTCAAAATTGTCTGCAACGTTGCTCGTCGTGCTTGAGTTCCTTACATAATCGTTTTGATACTTTATCCAAATTATTTTCAAATCTGTATCTAAATTTTTAGATACTTCAGCAAAATTGTTCTTTTTATATATATTTTATATATACATTGTTAGTCATATTATACAGGTTGTATCTAAAATAACCTAATCATATAGTGCTATTCCTAATAAAAAAAACTGGGAAAAATAAAAAAAACTAATAGAAAAATCCTAATAAAAAAAACTAACAGAAAAATCCTCTACCATTTTGCAATTTTCGTAATATTTTTTTTAATTATCCAATCAGTAAAATGTCTAAAATCGATGTATAAGACAATTTGAAGATATCTTTAAGAGATTTTTAAGAAATATCTTCAAAATATTTCACAAAGAACACTGAAAGATATCTTAAAATTATACTTCGATTTTATGATTTATCCGTTTATTCGGCAATCTTTAGAAACTAATTTGCGAAAATTGCAAAATGGTAGAGGACTTTTCAACTTAGTTTTTTATTAGGAATAGCACTGTATGATTACGTGGCCGTTATTTCAGATACACCCTGATGTATACATTATATTCATGCATGTCAAATCGCGTATTGGCAAAAATTGCAGTAACTGAAGTATCGAAATTTCCAGCGTCACGATAGATTTCACTCGTGTTGATGAGAAATTCTTTCAATCGACCTACTGCCCGCTAGATTCGTAAACCACCTGTGGTCTATGTGCTACATCAGCCTAAGATTAATACGACTCTTAGATTCTCTTAAATTAATATCTACCGTTAGCCAATACCTTTCACAAACACGTCACGTCGCAGCTCACGGCGAAATTCCACTGACAATCGTTCCTCGCGAAATAAATCTCTAAACAACCTTCAGGCGTAAAATACGCGAGTAAAAAGTATCATTCTTTAGTATCTTCAAATAGAAAGTAGTCACGATTTTGATTGGGATAATATTAAAATTTGTGACGAAGAAAAAGTTTTATCGAAAAGATTGATATCGGAGATGATTCATATAAAAAAAAAAACCAGAAACACGGACTGAATTTGTAAACTGACACTTCATCTCTGGATCTAATATATTTGAATATTTTAGCGGCTTTATGACACTTCTCCCCCTCTTTGTTCTATGTTGTTTATTGATTTGATTTGGATTCTCCGGGATTATTTTCACACTCATTATGTCTATAATATTCTCACTGCTAACATTATGTATGACTAGATATCGTTTTTTATGTAAGTTTTAATTTATCTGTATTCCTGTACGATCTAATTCATCAATAATTAATATTTTTATTATAATATATAATAAACCTAATAATTTGATGTATACGCAGATATTATTATCAACCTCAATGTTCACGTAAGTGCACATTTTGTTACAATTAATTTCTTTATGACAGCACCTATATTGTTGCACTGTGTTATTTAGTTTACTAGAATTTAATAAACCAATAACAAGATGTGGACATGAGAAGATTCAATCATATTAACTCTCATATATCACTTTTAATGATTCTTATTGCGATATTCGAAGTTTATTTATATATTTATTCATACTGAAGAGGAGCCAAACTAGGATCGAAACATTTATGTGTCTCCTGTAATAAAGAATTTATAATTACACACTTACTGTGTCGGCTCTCAAAGGCTTCTCTCTAATTTTTTATTTATTCATTAGAGCCTTTATTTGATTTATTCGATTTAATTACTAAACAGCAAATGCCTTTTTAAGTTAGAATTCTCTTTTGTAAGAGGAAATGTGAAACAACGAACAAGATTTTCTCAAGTCCGAGACGAATGTTGCGAAATTGTTATATTCTCGGGAGCAAAAATAATTTTAAGGTAA